AAATATATTGACTCTTTCTATTCTGATCAGGGTATGTCATATTTATTTTTGCAGGCTACTTATAGAAATTCCACTTAGCCTCAGCCATTCAATTATAAAGTGTATGTACAGGTAGGAAGAAAAAAAATTCTCCTTTAAAAGATAACAATTGTCATCCTCTCACATGTAATTAAAGCCATTAACACCAATAAATGTACATAAATTTTCAGAGGTTTAAATTCTACTCAATGATATTGCAAAGAAGGGACCCAGACTCAATCATTCCTTCTGTATAATGATAAATGCACTTAGGCAGAGTCAATACATTTTATCCTTCCTAGCCAGTAGTGACCTAATGATAAAAAAAAATACAAATTGATGCATGTGTGAATATAGTGATAATCTCTGAATTTAAAGTCACTTATTGTAAAAACAACAGATGAGCAAATTATTATATTAATTTCTTCAAATACAAATATTTGAATGATGGTTATATACTAAGCATTATATACCAACACTGAGAAATACAGCAACTGAATAAAACAGACAAAAATTCCTCTCTTACGAAGCTTCCATTCTGGTGGGGGATGTGGACAACAACAAACGTATAATTTATGGCAAGAAATAATTGTTTTGAAGAAATATAAAGCAGCATAAGAGTACAGTGATTAGGATATGAATATTATTTTAGATAGAAATTTGGCCAAAGGAGCTTTATGTAAGAAAACAATAGAGATCTGAATGAAGTGAGATTATACAGCATTTGAAGTTCATAATGACAACACTGAATTGTCAAGAAATATTAAAATGATATACATGATATCATATTTTTTAATATTTCATGGCACCTTGGAGTTCAACCTCTTAATTCTATTATAGGGGTATGATCTGCTCTAAATAAGTATTACAGTAGATGGTGACTAAAATCCATTAAGAAGTGTAATTCCGTTTGAGAAGGAAACCTCAGCAATAACTTTTACAGAGTTCAGGAAAATGGCTAAAACCTGAAAGCTGCTACACTTTAAAAAAGGTTAAATTCACTCTGAGACACTAATATAAAACAGCTCCTCCAAAGATGGTGGAAAAGGCATTATTATAAAGAACATTAAGTATATTACAAATGTAGTTATCTCAGATTAACAGGGGGAGGGTGGTGATTATGAACTTTAAACCAGACCTTAAAGTTTCAAGTTGACTGAAGGATCTTTGAAAATAAATTTAATAAACTTCAACCTCATAAGTATATCTACTACAGAATGCTACAGTGTGTATAAAAATGAGTATTTCCTCATCTAGATGAGAAATTCACAAAAGTACAATTTTCATAACTACATTTAAAAAAGCAGGCTTTAATTTTATCAATAACTAATTACATAATTATGTAATTTATTAAATGAAGGGTTTGAAAGAATTTGGTTGGTGGGAAAAAGTTTTATTCACAAGAGAGCAGGAGTAATTGGAAGAGTTGGTCTGAAGAGATCTGAAGTACAAAAATATTTGACTAAGTTGAGTTCTCCCCCTAGTGGAACTTGAAAATGATCTAAGATATTTCCATGAATAAAAATAACCTAAAATGTATTACTCTTATAATTGAAAAGGAGTTTCAGGTTTTAACAAAAGATCTCTTTATGGATCTTAACCTGCATATAATAAATGAATGAATGAATGAAGTTTGAATCATTAAGATGTTTACTGAAAACACATTTATCAAATGTCTTAACGGCAAACTAGCCATGGAGAACTCAGTAAGCAGAAATACCTAAAAGGCAGAGGACTAGGGGATACAGAAAAAAACAGCAATTTTTTGAAGACATAATAGCATGTAGAATGATACAGAATTTTAAAAGAATATAGAAACTTTGTAAAGAGGTGTGTGTGTGTGTGTGTGTAGGAGGTGGGGAGAGAGGATGGGGTGGTAATGGTCAAAGAAGAGGCTAGAAATGCAAGTCTGGACAATAATGAAAAGATAAGGTTTTTACGTTTTAGAAAGAAAATTCTGGTGGCTCTGTGGAAGAGCTCAGGCTGGAGAAAAAGAAGCTGGACAGGAAGTTGTGACGTTCAGGTGGGGACGAAGGCAGATGAATGAAGGGAGTGGCAGGGGGGAATAGAAAGGCCATGAAAGATTTTTTTTTAAGTTTCTGAAATGAGTAAAATTACCTTTGATTTAGTTTTAGATTTACTCACGACTTTTATCTTTTGAAGAAACTGAAGAGTTGGACATGGTACTTTAATCTGCATGAATTATTAAGAATTATCTGAAGGCAAATCTATATGAGTAGGTGAGCAGGTGAAACGCTGGTAGGAATGTTAACTAGCAGAAGCACTTTGTAAAAATAATTTGGTACTCTCAAGTAAAGTTGAAAGTTTGCATACGCAGCCTTGATAAATATGGCATAACGTTAAGAAAAGCATAAGTGAAGTTCCTACTAAGCTGAATAATTCAAGATGAGATACCACTGAACAAGACTTGAGATACAAAAGAAAAACATTTTGGCTGGAATAGGAACACATTTGATTTTAAACGTGTTGAATTTGAAGGTCCTGTACAAGTTCCAGGAGGAGTTCTCTACTGTCCATTAAACATACTGCGTCAAAAGACACAATAAATTAAAAACAACGACAAATGACAAGTTACAAAGTGGGAGTAGCTATCTGTAAAACATAACATCAACTTAGAAAGAATTACACGTACATAAGAAAAAGATAATCCTAAAGAAAAGACATACACAAAAAACTTTAATAGGCACTTTATAAAAGATGAAATCCAAACTGCCAACCTCATTAGTAATCCAGCAAATACAAATTAAAACCATGATGAAATACCATTGCATACCCACCAGACTGGCACAAATTAAAGCATCTGACACCACCAAGTGTTGGGGAGGATGTGGAAGAACAGGACTTTCGTAGGCTGTGGTTGGCAGTTAAAGTGGTACAATCAGTTTGGAAAATAAAACTGAAGATCTGACCCAGCCATTCCACACCCTGGCATCATGCTAGAGAAACGTGTGCACACATAGTCAGTATAGTGTACAAGATTACTTACGATCTCAGCATTGTGTATAACAGTCCCAATCTGGAAATTTACAAATGACCACTAATATCAGAGTGGATATGTACGCTGTGACATATTCATGAAATGGAACATGTTGCAACAATAAAAATCATGACTCATTAAAACAGTGCTGAACAAAGAAAGAAGAGACACAAATGAAAATATTCAGCATGACTCTATACGAAATTCAGAAATAGGGAAAACTAAACTGTGTGGATGAGAGATGCATACAAAGATGACACCACTAAAAGGAAAAGCAGAGGAGTGACTGCTATAAAATTCGGGATAAGGGAAAAGGGTGTGATTGGGTAGACTTCTGGAATATAGGCAATATTCTGTATCTTGACCCAAATAGTGGTTACATGGATACTGTTTTTATACATATTATAATGTAGCTTTGTTTTATGAACTTTTCTGTTTATTGTCTTCATAATTTTTTTTTAAAGGTGTAAGATTATCGATTAGGGGAAACATGCTAGGATGGAGATAGATTAGAATTCATTGTTGTACACTGAGTAGTTTTTAAAAAGCCAAAAAACTTGGGTGCTCAGAGGAATACAAACACTCAGAACTGAGAAAAAAAGGATTGAAAACAAAGTTCAACAAGAAGAGAGTCAAAAGAGGGTGGTGCCAGGAAAATTCTTCAGCCCACAGAATGAGAGGAAATATCTGCAAAAATATCTGTTTACATCTGATATGGGATTGACATTGAGAATATATAAGAAACTTCCACAACTCAACAACAACCCATTTAAAAACTGGGCAAAGGACTTGAACTGCCATTTCTCTAAAGAAGACATAATGGCAAATAAGCACAATGAAAAGATGGTCAACATTATTAATCATTAGAGAAATGCAAATCAAAACCACAATGAGGGCTTCCCTGATGGCGCAGTGGTTGAGAGTCCGCCTGCCAATGCAGGGGACACGGGTTCGTGCCCCGGCCTGGGAAGATCCCACGTGCCACGGAGCGGCTAGGCCCGTGAGCCATGGCCGCTGAGCTTGCGCGTCTGGAGCCTGTGCTCCGCAATGGGAGAGGCCACGACAATGAGAGGCCCGAGTACCGCAAAAAAAAAAAAAAAAAAAAACCACAATGAGATACCACTTCATACCCATTAGGATGGGTGTTAAAAAAAAACAAAAACAAAAACAAAATTAACAAGTATTGGTGAGGATGTGGAAAAACTAGTCCCTGTGCATTGCCGGTGGGAATGTAAAATGGTGCAGCTGCTGTGGAAAACAGTATAACAATTCCTCAGAAAATTAAACATAGAATTACCACCTGATACAGCAATTCCACTTCTGGGTATGAATGAAAACAGAAATGAAAACAAGGATTCAAACAGCTATTTGTACACTCACATTCATAGCAGCATTATTCACAATAGTCAAAAGGTAGAAGCAATCTAAGTGTTCATCAATGAATGAATGGATAAACAAAACGCAGTATGCACACACAACAGAATATTATTCAGCCTTAAAAATGAAGGAAATTCTGACACATATTACAACATAAATGAACCTTGATGACCTTATGCTAAGTGAAATAAGCCAGTCACAGAAAGACAAATATCCTATGATTTTATCAATACTTATATAATATACTTAGAGTAGTCAAATTCAGAGACAGAAAGTACAATGGTGGTTTCTGGGGGTTGAGGAAAGAGGGGAATGGGGAGTTGTTTAATGGGTACAAAGTTTCAGTTTTGCAAGGTAAAGAGTTCTGGAAAATGGCTGCACAACGAGAATGCACTTAAATGTCACAGACTGTATACATTAAAATTGTAAATTTTACAGCAATACGTGTATTTTTACCACAATAGAAAAAAATGGACTTGGAAATGAATAAGTGTTGAAAATAGAAGCATAGTCATTAGGATGAAGACATAAGTCACTATTCAGGTGCAGAGGGAAGGGGAAATAACTGCATTATTTTAACATGTACTTTATTATTTTCATGTGTTACCTGGATTTCAAGCTCAGCAATGTGCTGCTGTAGTTCAGCCACAGCAGCTATGCTATCTGCTTCCCGGAGTCTCACAGCCATCACTTCTTCCTTGTTCTAGGGTGGTAAACAAAACAAACCAAAAATAAACCATATAATAAACCAAACCATTAATAAAACATAAACACTTGTAACATGCCTCAAATTTAGAAAGTGACAAATAAACCCATGATTAAATGAGAGAAAAAATGCCATTATATCCTGAACTTGGTATAAAATGAAGAATAAATGTATAGAATAACATTCCATCTCACTGTAGTGGCCTCTCCCGCTGTGGAGCACAGGCTCCGGATGCGCAGGCTCAGCGGCCATGACTCATGGGCCCAGCCGCTCTGCGGCATGTGGGATCTTCCCGGACGGGGGCACGAACCCGTGTCCCCTGCATCGGCAGGCAGACTCTCAACCACTGCGCCACCAGGGAAGCCCTACTCAAACTTTTAAACTAAAAATTAACTTAATTAAAACTGGTGACTGTGAAAGCTGTTAATTTTTTAACGAAGAACAATTACTGAGAACTTTCAAACACGAAACTAGGACAACAGATTAACAGGGAATATAAACACTAAGAGTATGATAGCTAGATAATATTTTTTAAATTACATTTTTTCTGAGGCCATGAAAGTTAATGAGTATTTACATTATACTACATTTTTTCTGAGGCAATGAACTTTAATGAGTATTTACATTACACTACAAAGGAGAGTAAAAGAAATTAGATTATATCATAACTCTAATCTTCCTAGTAAAAGCATATCAATTCTACCACTTCAAAATTTCACAAACGAAAAGCTCTAAAATTGTATTCTACAATATCCATGCTAAATAATAATGATCCAGAAGTAACAAAGTATGAAGAAAGACAGAGGAAAATGGGGTATACAAAAATATTTTGCTCCTTCATTAACTTCAGCTGAAATTTAGCAATCATTTAGTATCAAAAATGTGCATCATGGTGACCACAGGAGAAATTTAGCACCTGACAGTAATATAATATCAAAAATTAAAAAAATACTAAATTTAGTAAAAATATAATAATTAAACTTTTAAATTAAAAAAATAGGGCTTCCCTGGTGGCGCAGTGGTTGAGAGTCCGCCTGCCGATGCAGGG